CACCTTCGCACTAGTGACACTCGCTACCGCGCTGCGCTTCCTGCTGAGTTCTGCGCCAAGAACCCCCCCCCCATGTACATCACCCTCTACTACATAGTCACCCGGCTCCCTGACACCCTTCGCTCGGTCAGGGACCACTTTCTCTCTGTTTGCCCCACCACCCTCACCGTTGACCTCCTCGAGGAGCGTCTCCTAGCAGCAGAGAAGAGCATAGTTGCTGTAGGTGCCTCTCGTGGTGACCCTCGTACCCCTGTCTTTGAGGGGTGCTCCCCCTCCCCCCTCTTGCCCTCTGTTGCCTCTGCTGCTGCGGTCGACCTTGTTGGTCTTGAGTCGGTCGTGACGGCGTCTGCCCCTAGCGGGAGACGCCGCCCTGGCAAGGGCAAGGGGGGCAAGGGCGCTGGGGGAGCTGGCGGAGGCGGTGGAGGCGGCGGTGGCGGAGGCGGAGGGAGTGGGGGTGGCAGTGGGAGTGGGAGTGGGAGTGGTGCTGGGGGTGGGAGCACTAGTGGAGGCAGCGGCGGCAGAGGAGGAGGCGGTGGTGGAGGTAGCGGCGGCGGAGGTGGAGCGGGTCGGGGCGGCTCTACGCAGAGGGTCGGCTCCGGTGGTGGTACGCGCCAGCAGCAGCAGCAGCAACGTCCCCGTGAGACCCCTTCCCCCCAGCAGCTTCGTTAGTGGTACACTGCTCGTCAGAGGGCGGGGGTGCTGGCCCCTGCACCTACGTTCTCCGTACCGGCGACCGCGCGGGTGAGCAGTGTGGGGGAGCGCACTCCACCCAGCGCTGCTTCGGCCGTCTGACGGACGCGTGGCGTCACCAGTTCCCTGACGCTACTGAGATCCCTCGCTGGGGCGAGCTGTCTAGGGCGGGTGTTGCGATCTTTGATCTTGATTATGATGCTATTCTTGCTGCCATGTATGCTGTGACTATTAGTGAGGAGGGTGACTGTTACCTGTGTTTCCCGCCCGACCCAGGCATTGGGGATGTTGCGCTAGGTGCTTGTGAGACTGCTGCGCTAGGTGCCAGTGTGTCTGTCACCCCAGGTGCCGGTGAGTCTGCGCTCTCAGGTACTGCGTCGTCTCCGGACACCCACACCTTCACCCTTGACTCGGGTGCTTCCCGCTCCTTCTTTCGTGACTGCACCACTCTCACGCCGCTCAGTCGGCCGGTTGCAGTCTCCCTGGCAGACCCCTCTGGGGGTCCTGTTCTTGCCCACTACTCTACTGTTCTCCCGTGTCCATCTGTCCCGTCTGGCTCCCTGTCGGGTCTTTACCTCCCCTCGTTCTCTACGAACTTGGTGGCAGGTGCTGACCTACAGGATGGGGGGGTTGACCAGTTCACCCCTGCGCGTCAGCGGGTGACCCACTGCACGTGTGCAGACACGGGTCGACACCTGGCCACGTTTACTCGTCGGCCGGGGTCGAGCCTGTACACACTGACTACTGAGTCTCCTCCAGTCACTGAGTCTGCTCAGGTAGCGGCGTCGGGTCAGGTGTTTGCTGCGGCGTCCAGGTCTGGTCCTGAGTCTGCCCCCTGCTCGTGTCGTCTCTTGTCCTACCGGACTCTCCTCTGGCACCACCGCCTTGGTCACCCCTCCCTGCCTCGTCTTCGAGGCATGGCTTCCCGTCTTCTTGTCTCTGGTCTCCCCCGGTCCCTCCCTCCCCTTCCTCCGGGGCCTGCCCCCACCTGCGTTCCCTGCGTCGAGGGGCGGCAGCGCGCTGCTCCCCACTCCTCCGAGTTCCCCCCGACAGAGGCTCCGCTGCAGACGCTTCACATGGACGTGTGGGGCCCAGCCCGCGTCCGTGGGCAGGGTCACGAGCGTTACTTCCTGCTGGTGGTTGACGACTACTCGCGTTACACCACAGTCTTCCCCTTGGGCAGCAAGGGTGATGTCACTGAGGTGTTGATCGCCTGGATCCGCGCAGCTCGTCTCCAGCTCCGGAAGACTTTCGGCTCGGACTTTCCTGTTCGGCGTCTGCACTCCGACAGAGGCGGAGAGTTCTCCTCTGACCTTCTGCGGGCCTTCTGTCGTGCACGAGGCATCCGCCAGACCTTCACGCTTCCGGACTCTCCACAGCAAAATGGGATTGCTGAGCGCCGCATTGGCATGATCATGGACGTCGCTCGTACGTCCATGGTCCATGCGGCTGCCCCCCATTTTCTGTGGCCGTTTGCGGTTCGGTACGCGGCGCATCAGATCAACCTTCACCCCCGGGTCTCCATGCCGGAGACCTCCCCTGCTTTACTGTGGACGGGGAAGGCTGGCGATGCGTCTGCGTTCCGTGTCTGGGGATCTCGGGCGTTTGTCCGCGACTTGTCTGCGGACAAGTTGTCCCTCGTGCTGTTCCCTGCGTCTTCCTTGGCTTTCCTCCTGACGCGCCAGGCTGGCAGTTCTACCACCCTACCAACCCTCGCGCCGTGTTCTGTCCTCCCAGGACGTCACCTTTGACGAGTCGGTTCCCTACTACCGTCTCTTCCCCTACCGCACTGCGTCCCTCCCTCCCCCGCCGCTCTTCCTTACGCCAGGTCCCCCCCCGGTAGACCCCCTCCCCCCTCAGGGTCCTGCCCCCTCAGGTGTGTCCCAGGTAGATGCGGTCGAGCCTGTCGAGGTAGCTGTTGACTCTGGTGCTGCTGGGGGTGCTGGGTCTGGGGGTGCTGCGACTGGGGGTGCTGAGCCTAGGGGTGCTGCGTCTGGGGGTGCTGAGCCTGGGAGTGCTGAGCCTGGGGGTGCTGAGCTTGGGGGTGCTGAGTCTAGGGGTGCTGAGCCTGGAGGTGCTGAGTTTGGGGGTGCTGGGCCTACTGGAGGTTCTTCGGGTGCTTCGTCCCGGCGGGAGCTACTCTCTCCACAGGAGCTGCGGGAGTGGTTTGCCCGGCGCTGGAGACGTGCTGCTGGTGCCGGCGGAGCTGCGGACGCTGGAGGTTCTACTGGTGCTGAGGGTGCTGGTGCAGAGGGTCCCAGAGGTGCTCGTACAGGTGGTACTGGAGCTGCTGGGCCTACGGGTGCTCCTCCTGCTGGAGCTGACGGTGCTGCGGACGCTGGAGGTTCTGCTGCTGCTGAGGGTGCTGGTGCAGAGGGTCCCGGAGGTGCTAGTCCGGGGTGTACTGGAGCTGCTGGGCCTGCGGGTGCTACTGGAGCTGGGGCTACTGAGAGTGTTGGCGCTGGAGGCGCTGCTGGCGCTGGTGCTTCTGAGGGTGCTGGAGTTGGCGCTGCTGGAGCTGGGGGTACTCCTGGTGCTGGTGCTGCCGTTGGGGGTGCTGGTGCTGTTCCTGCTGGCGCTGGAGGCGATAGCTGCGCGGCCACGGCCGTACTTCGTTCCGCTCCTTGAGCAGGTTCTTGGTCTTCCGTCCTCTCTTGGTCCTGCTCCCAGCTTAGAGTGTCCGCCTCCTGTCCGGTCTGAGTCGCAGTTACAGCCACCCTCTCTGCTTCCTTCTCCTTCTCCCTACACTGGTCCTACTGGAGGTCTTGCTGAGCGTCGTGAGCCTGCGTCTCGCCCTGCGTCGCCTGTCCGTGCTGCTCGCGCTAGTGGTCGTGGTTCGCGTCAGCGTCCTCCTCCTGTCCCCGGCACGCACCGGATGTCTCTGCGTCCTTCCACTGCTCCCTTGCGTGCCCCCTTGCCTTCTCCTCCTGCGTCCTCCCTACCTGACCTTCCTGACCCGGAGTCAGACTCCCTTCGTGCTGCGCGTCCTACTGTCACACGTCTCCTTGCTACTGTCGTCACTGACCCTTCCTTTGAGTCTACTGCTGCGTCTGCCCTAGTTGCTGAGCTTGTCGACTTCGCTGCTCGCTGTCGCCTAGACTACGCTGCCAGTCTCGTCGCTGAGTCTGCGTCTGTCTGTCCTCCGTCCGTCGGGGGTGAGTGTGCTCTTAGCACGGACGTCCTTGAGGACAGACAGGAGGAGTTCCAGTGCTTGGCTGCTGTTTCACCTCATCTCGTGGCCATGCTACTTGCCCCTGAGGGAGACCCGGATGCACTTGACATCCCGACTCCGCGCTCTTACGCGGAGGCGATAGAGGGTCCCTACTCCTCTCAGTGGCAGGCAGCCATGGACGCAGAGATGGCTTCCTGGAAGTCCACAGGCACCTACGTTGACGAGGTTCCCCCGCCTGGGGCGAACATCGTCAGTGGCATGTGGATTTTCAGGGTGAAGCGGCCGCCGGGTTCTCCGCCTGTCTTCAAGGCGCGTTACGTGGCTCGTGGCTTCAGTCAGCGGCAGGGAGTTGACTACTTTCAGACCTTCTCTCCCACCCCGAAGATGACCACTCTTCGGGTACTGCTGCACATAGCCGCTCACCGGTAACCACATGCTGGGCAGGTATGGGTGGTAACCACATGCTGGGCAGGTATGGGTGGTGGTAACCACATGCTGGGCAGGTATGGGTGGTAACCACATGCTGGGCAGGTATGGGTAGTAACCGCATGCTGGGCAGGTATGGGTGGTAACCGCATGCTGGGCAGGTATGGGTGGTAACCACATGCTGGGCAGGTATGGGTGGTAACCACATGCTGGGCAGGTATGGGTGGTAACCACATGCTGGGCAGGTATGGGTGGTAACCACATGCTGGGCAGGTATGGGTGGTAACCACATGCTGGGCAGGTATGGGTGGTGGTAACCACATGCTGGGCAGGTATGGGTGGTAACCACATGCTGGGCAGGTATGGGTGGTAACCGCATGCTGGGCAGGTATGGGTGGTAACCACATGCTGGGCAGGTATGGGTGGTAACCACATGCTGGGCAGGTATGGGTGGTAACCACATGCTGGACAGGTATGGGTGGTAACCACATGCTGGGCAGGTAGTCTCTTGGGAATTCTCAAAGGGGGCGGATCAAGAGGCGGGTGCCGGGGAGGTGGGGGGGAGGTGCGCACGCCCATAGTGATGGTGGTGGGGGGTTGAACACTAGCAAGTTGGCTAGTTTCTGATCAACCACATTCTGGGCAGGTATGGTATGGGTGGTCAGCTGCATGCTGTCCGATTGCGTTGCAAGTGTGCTGTGTGCGTGCGTGCATGCGGATCACTTTCGTTTCCTCTGGTCCTCTGCAACTTCTCTCCTCACCACCCCTTCCCCCGCTTCCCCCCGGTCGGCCCCCCTTTCCCTGTCCGCTCTCCCTTTTCCACTCTCGCCACTCTCCCTGCACACTCCCCTCTCTCCCTGCACACTCCCCTCTCTCCCTGCACACTCCCCTCTCTCCCTGCACACTCCCCTCTCTCCCTGCACACTCCCCTCTCTCCCTGCACACTCCCCTCTCTCCCTGCACACTCCCCTCTCTCCCTGCACACTCCCCTCTCTCCCTGCACACTCCCCTCTCTCCCTGCACCTCCCCTCTCCCTGCACACTCCCCTCTCTCCCTGCACACTCCCCTCTCTCCCTGCACACTCCCCTCTCTCCCTGCACACTCCCCTCTCTCCCTGCACACTCCCCTCTCTCCCTGCACACTCCCCTCTCTCCCTGCACACTCCCCTCTCTCCCTGCACACTCCCCTCTCTCCCTGCACACTCCCCTCTCTCCCTGCACACTCCCCCTCTCTCCCTGCACACTCCCTCTCTCCCTGCACACTCCCCTCTCTCCCTGCACACTCCCCTCTCTCCCTGCACACTCCCCTCTCTCCCTGCACACTCCCCTCTCTCCCTGCACACTCCCCTCTCTCCCTGCACACTCCCCTCTCTCCCTGCACACTCCCCTCTCTCCCTGCACACTCCCCTCTCTCCCTGCACACTCCCCTCTCTCCCTGCACACTCCCCTCTCTCCCTGCACACTCCCCTCTCTCCCTGCACACTCTCCTCTCTCCCTGCACACTCCCCTCTCTCCCTGCACACTCCCCTCTCTCCCTGCACACTCCCCTCTCTCCCTGCACACTCCCCTCTCTCCCTGCACACTCCCCTCTCTCCCTGCACACTCCCCTCTCTCCCTGCACACTCCCCTCTCTCCCTGCACACTCCCCTCTCTCCCTGCACACTCCCCTCTCTCCCTGCACACTCCCCTCTCTCCCTGCACACTCCCCTCTCTCCCTGCACACTCCCCTCTCTCCCTGCACACTCCCCTCTCTCCCTGCACACTCCCCTCTCTCCCTGCACACTCCCCTCTCTCCCTGCACACTCCCCTCTCTCCCTGCACACTCCCCTCTCTCCCTGCACACTCCCCTCTCTCCCTGCACACTCCCCTCTCTCCCTGCACACTCCCCTCTCTCCCTGCACACTCCCCTCTCTCCCTGCACACTCCCCTCTCTCCCTGCACACTCCCCTCTCTCCAGGCACCCCCCCTGTGTGACCTTCCTGGACGTGGAAGAGGGCAGCCCGAGGTCACTGTTATGCTCACCAACACTTCTGCCCATCCACCTCCCTCCTTCCCTTCCCCCACCCTCTCCCCCTCCCATCAGGCACCCCTGTGTGGCCTTCCTGGACATGGATGTGGGGCAGCCCGAGTTCACTCCGCCCGGCCTCGTCTCGCTGCACCTCCTCTCCCACCCCGTCTTTGGTACTTCCCCTCATCTCCCCTACCTCCTCTCTCTTCTTCTAACTCCTCTCCATGCCTTCCTCTCTCGGAATTCCCTCCTCTCCCACCTGAAACGTCTTTCTCCATCCTTTCCCCGTCAGCACATCAGCACCCACCTTACCCTGCGTTTATTCACATTCCACCTGCCATGCCTTCTCACACTCCCATGCCTTCTCACACTCCCATGCCCTCTCATAATGCCATTCCTTCTCACACTCCCATGCCCTCTCACAAATGCTATTCACATGCTGCCATGCCCCCTCACAACACCAAGCCTTCTCACCTGCACAGCGACATCAGCCCTGCCTCCCCCCTTTACCCGCCCCCTTTGTCTTCTCTGCTCCCTTGCTCCCCCCTCACTTTCCCCACACGCCACGCCAGGCCAGGCCACTCCACCCTGCACCAGGGCACGCCCCTCAAGTCACCTATGGGGCAACACCAGCCCTCCCTGTCCCCTTACCCACCAAATCCTCCCCCCAACCCCCCTTTCTCTCAGCATACCCACCACAGGCCACCCTGCACTGCACTGCACTGCACCAGGCCACCCTGCACTGCACTGCACTGCACCAGGCGAACCCCCTGGCGAGCCACCTGTACGGCGACATCCACCCTTCCCTCTGCCCCTTACCCTCTTCCTCACCTTTCCCCCATTACTCCCCAATGCATTAATCACAGGCCACCCCGCCCTGCATCAGCGCACCCCCCTGGCAAGCCATCTGTACGGCGACATCAGCCCCGGCAGCGACCCCGCGCTGTACCTGCGCCAGCTCTTCTCTCTCTACGACTGCTTCAGACAGAACTACTATGATGGGCACGGGGCGGCGGCACTGCCACTGGTGATCAACACACACGGGTGGATCAAAGGTGAGTCACTCCCGCTCTTCCTCCCCTGCCTCCCTGCTCCTCCCTCCACACACGTCATCTCTGTACAAACCCTGTTCCCCCTGCTTCCTCCCTGCCTGCGCCCTGTCCCATCTCCGTCCCTCCCCCCTTCCGTTCACTCCCCCAGGAATCGGGTATGACGCCCTGGTGGATCTGATCCGTTGCGTGGCGCCCACACACGTCATCCCTCTGCTCGTCCCCGATGCAGCTGACAACCTGCCTGGGGGCCACTTCTGGCAGCCGGGGGGGGGTCGCCCCCGAGGATATCAACCCCAGGCTTCACTCCTCACTGCTTAACCCCTTCTATGTTTCCCCCCTCCCCTCCCCCTCCCATCCAAACCTCTCCGCCCATCCCCCAGGCATAGGGTACGACGCCCTGGTGGATCTCATTCGCTACGTGGCGCCCACGCACGTCATCTCGCTGCTCGCCCCCGATGCAGCGGACAACCTGCCTGCAGGGCACTTCTGGCAGCCGGGGGGGTTCGCCCCCGAGGACATCAACCCCAACATGACGCCCCTGGGGGCGTGGGGGGCGGTGGGGAGGGCGCCGGGGGATGGCGGGGGAGTGGGATGGGGAGGGGGAGGGGGTGGATGTGGTGGGTATGGGTGGAGGCGCAGGGGGACCAGCTGGAGTAGGGGTTTGGGAGGGAGGAGGGAAGGACGGGGGAGTAGAGGGAGTGGAACCAGCAGCAGGGCAGGGGGCAGCAGCAGGGGCAGCAGGGGCGGCAAGGGCAGCAGTAGCAGCAGTGCGCACGTCGTTAATCACAATCACATCGCTGTCTGCCAGCGCTGGTCCCGGCGTGAGGTGAGGCGCGAGGAGGAGGGTGGGAAGGCAGTGTTGAGGTGAGGTGGGGAGAGAAGGAGGTGTGAGGTGAAGTGAGGTGAGGTGAGGTGAGGTTTGGTGAGGATGTGTGAGGAGGTGTGAGGGGAGGAGGAAGAGAGGTGGAAGTATGAAGCGTAGTAGACTAGGGTGAAAGCAGGGGTGGCTGCGAGCAATGAAGCGCATGTGCCCTCGTATGTGCCCGCGCATGTGCCCGCGCATGTGCCCTCGCATGTGCCCTCGCATGTGCCCTCGCATGTGCCCTCGTATGTGCCCTCGCATGTGCCCTCGCATGTGCCCTCGCATGTGCCCTCGCATGTGCCCTCGCATGTGCCCTCGCATGTGCCCTCGCATGTGCCCTCGTATGTGCCCTCGCATGTGCCCTCGTATTTGCCCTCGTATGTGCCCTCGTATGTGCTTCATTCATTGTTCTCCCCTCCCCTCCTCACAAACCATTCACTCTGCCACCATTTGTTCGCTTCCAGCATGCTCTCCTCTCACATCCTCGCCCTCATCCTTTCCTCCGCCTCCCCCAACCTCTCTCCATCCCCGTACCCATCCCCTTCCCGCCCTCCCTCTCCCTCCCTCTCCCCCTCCCTGTCCCCGCCCCCCCCCACCGCAGCAACGCCTACCGGGTAGCACACGAGCATCGCAGTCTGTGGTTGCTAGCAGCCGTCCGCTACGCCCTCTCCCCCCATGCTCTCAACCTCCCTCTCCTCCCCTCTCTCATGGCTTCCCCTCTCTCATGCCTTCCCCTCTCCCCTTCCTCCCACCAGCAACTCCTACCGAGTGGCACACGAGCATCGCAGCTTGCGTGTGCTAGCAGCCATCCGCCATGCCCTCTCCCCCGCACGCCGCCTCGCCCTCTACAAGCTCGCCCACCACATTCCCCCCCACCCCGCCCCACCCACCGCCACCCGCCCCCTCTTCCACCACCGCCCCCTCTTCCACCACCCTTCCCTCGTCCACCATCCTTCCCTCTTCCTCCGCCGGCCCCCCTGCTTCCTTCCCTCCCGCACGCCCCTCGCCCGCACGCCCTTCGCCCGCACTCCCCTCGCCCATACTCCCCTTGCCCATCTTCCTGTTCCCGTTTGACGAGCGGTGGGAGATGGCGCGCTGTGCTCGCCTGCTGGCGTGGCGGGCGCCCTTCGAGGTGGACCTGGGGGACCTGCACGTGGGCAGCGCGCATGGCGAGGTGAGGGGAGCTTCACTTAATCATCCTGTTCCTCGCCCCCTCCTGGCCGGCCCCTCTTCCTTTACACGTGTGTCCTGCCAACACTATCAGTGCCCTCAACACAACACTTCCATCGTCGGCCAACACTATCATTGCTCCTCCTCCAACACACTTGTTGCCCCATTCCCTTCCTCTCCCTCATCCCCCTCCCGGCAACACACTCATCAACCTCAACGTCTCACCTCCCCCCCCCCTCCCCCTTCTCTCCCCCCCTCCGTTTCCAACCCCCCCACTTCTTCCTCCCAGACGCCTTACCCTCTGCAGCTGTCCTCCGGCAACCCACTCATCACCCTCAACGTCTCAACTCCCTCCCATTTTCCCTCCTCCGTACCTCCCCCCCCCCCCCCTCCCTCGACCCGGCCCCCTTCCCCCTGCAGCTGTCCCCCGCCAACACGCTCATCGCCCTCAACGCCGCCATCGTCGGCCTCTGCTCCTCCTCCCCTCCCCCTCTCCCCTCCCTGCCGCCTCTGTCCTCCCTGCCTGTTGACCCCTCCGCCTCTGCTCATGCTGCTGCTACTCCAACAGCAGCGGCGCCACCAGCACCACCGCCAGGAGCAGCAGAAGCAGCAACTGATGCAGCAGCAGCAGAGATGGACATAGCAGCAGACTCAGCTGCAGCAGCAGGAAACAACACCGCAGCAGTGCCAGGAGCAGAAGCAGGAGCACCAGCAGGGGCAGCGCCAGGCTTCCCACGTGTGGTTTGGAACCCCCAGGAAGCCGCTCTCCTGCCCTGCCTCTCCTTCGGTACTGCCCCACCCCTCTGCTCTCCCACACTCTCCACCAGCACCCTTCATTCTTATCACACCATGACTGCACGCCCAGTGCCCCCCCCGTCTTGTCTGTCATTGATACATGATATGCTCTCTGCACTCTCTCTGCGCCCAACTCCCTCTCGCCCTCGGTGCCTATGACCGTTATTCTGACCCGAATCAGCATTACCAGTCGTACAGACGTGTTGAGGGGCGTGGATGGCTGCGGGGCTGTGGTGTGGCGACACACATGCTCTGCACTCTCGCTGCTCCATGCACTCTCGCTGCTCCATGCACTCTCGCTGCTCCATGCACTCTTCGCTGCTCCATGCACTCTCGCTGCTCCATGCACTCTTCGCTGCTCCATGCACTCTTCGCTGCTCCATGCACTCTTCGCTGCTCCATGCACTCTTCGCTGCTCCATGCACTCTTCGCTGCTCCATGCACTCTTCGTCCTGCTGCTGCCCAGCCCACCATGCCACCCCTCTTCTCATCATCCCCACCACCACGCGTGGTAAGGGGGGTGGTCGCCACCACGTGTGGTAAGGGGGATGGTCGCCGGCAGGGGCGTGGTAAGAGGTGGACGTTGTCCCTTTGCCCCTTCACTCTCTCCCCTTCTCTCCACTCTTCTCGGTGCCTTTTGTCCATATCTTGTCCACCAGGTGTAGTGAGGGGCGTGGACGCCAGCAGGGGAGTGGCACACGTGGTGGCGCCGCTGCCACTCGCCCGCATGCATCACATCGACACGCTCCTCATCTCGCACCTCCACCTGCCCTCCCCGCTGCTCCTGGTGAGCTATTCACCAATCCTCCTCATTCTGCACCTACACCTGCCTTTGCCCCTCTTCCTGGTGTCACTGTACCTCTGCTCCCACCCGCTCGCTAAACTCACCCTCTCACTCTCTTCCCTCTCCCCGTTCTCTTCCTCTTTTACCCCACTTCCCCCTCCCCCCCCCCCTCCCACCCCCCCCCACCCCCGCAATCCTTCTCCCCACAGTGCAGCGACCTGGTGTTGCCGTACCTCTGCTTCCACTCTCTTGCAGTTGTCCCTCCCAACTTGCTGTGCTCCCATTTCTATTTCCCTTCCCCCCCTCAACCCTCACCCCCCGTCACCCCATCCCCCTTCCTCTTCTCCAGTGCAACGATCTGGTGTCCCCATACCTCTGCTTCCACTCTCTTGCAGTTGCCCCTCCCAACTTGCTGTTCTCCCTTCTCTCCTTCCCTTCCCTTTCCTCCCTGCCTCCCCCCCAGTGCAACGACCTGGTCTCGCCGTACCTCTGCTTCCACTCTCTTGCTGATGCCACTCTGGGCGCCAAGGAGCTGCCCATCAGGGAGGTCAAGCGGTGAAGAGGGGTGAAGGGCGGTGAATTGCGATGGGGTGGTGAGGCTATGATGGCAGGCACATTGGCGGTCTGAGGATAGACCATGTTAATTTCGCTCATTGCCCCTTCTGACCATATGCCCGAACATGTGTTTGTAATTAAAAAAAACCCAAAACATATCTTTACATTACAATAGTCTGGTTCATAATAAATGGTCTTCCATAACCCACGAACCTCAACTAATCAATTATGGATACGCCGTTTTGAGGGACATGCCATGCTTGAAACCACCAGCACAGGTTCACACAGAGACCTGAGCAGAGAGGGAACAGCAAGCAGGGCAGCAGCCGCCACCGCCAAGACATGTTTGGAGATAGCTCACACGGTAGTCACAGTCCAGCGGAGGTAGAGCAGAGCACACACTTGTAGACGACGTCCAAGACGCCTCACAAAGCAGGCGCACTAGGAAGCAAGTCCCTTGGTGGGCGTTTCATCGTCTCTGGCAGCGAGAGCAATGTTGGAGATCCAACACACACCAGTGGACCCGGAACTCGTCAGCAGCTCCCACTCCCCCACCTCCATCCCTCCCCCCCTCCTTGCCTCCCCTCTTCCCCTTCCTCCCAAGCCCTCCTGCCCGCTCTCACTCCCCACCTCCTCTCCCTCTTCCCCCGCCCCCCTCTCCTCCCCCTCCTCATCCCCTTCAGCCACCTCAGAGAGCGAAGGCCCCACGTCGATGCTGCTGTTCACGGTGTCTTTATCGTCGTCCTCACTCTCGTGCGTGCTTATATCAGAAGCCGTCGACCCCCCTACAATCACCACACTGTCACTCAACGCACCCTGCTTTCCCCCACTCCTGCCGTCCGAACCGTCCCCACCTTCCTCCCCTTCCCCCTCCTCCTCCCCCTCCTCCACCACACCACCCAGCCCACCTCGTCTGCTAACCTGTAACCCTGCTACAGCGGCTACAGCCGCCGCCGCCACAGCAGCAGCCTCAGTCTCCGAACCTGCCGCTACTACAGCCGCAGCAAAACTGGCTGACACCGTTTGTCTGGATCCCACCACCCCAGCCTCCTCACCATCAAGACTCTCAGGCTCGTTCGCAGGAGTGGGGGGTGGGGGCGGGGGTGGGGGCAGCGGCGGCAGGGAGGCGTGGTGGTGCGAGTGGTGCAAGTCATGGTGGAGGCGGCTGGGATGGGTGTAGAGCGATGCAGCGCGGCGCTGCGACCAGGAGTAGCCGCAGAAATCAACGGCTACGACAGTGACGGGAGCTAAGCGTTCCACGCTGGCCGCTACGGCGTCGCCATGTGTCACGCAGAGGATGCTGTCGGTGGGGAAGAGCGCTGCCATGTCATCAAAGGCCTGCATGAAGCGCTCTCGTGCACTCTCGAGAGATTCCGGGAAGATGGGGAACTGGCCGTGGGCGAGGGGATGAAGGATGGTGGGCAAACAAAGGAAGATTAAGAACAGGAAAGTATTAAGTGCTCGCATGCACTCTCGACGGACATGCGGAAGAGGGTGTATTGGCGGAAGGGAAGAAAAATGTGATTGTACGAGCATGTATGTGCGAATGCAATTCTGTGCGAATGGTGTGTTCGTGTGATTGTTTTCTTTCGCAATTATCGCTTAATGCATTTGCATCTGCATTTTGGTGAAGGTGGACAATTGCGCTAAGCGAAAATTTCGATTGGAAAACCCTAAACCTTTTTTTTTTTTTCTGGCGAAGTTTTAGTAGACCAAAAAAAAAAAACTCCCTAAATTTCCCTGGCGATGAAATGCCAGACCCGCCCTAGATCTGATGGCAAAATGCAAGATCCGCCCTAGATCTGGCGGCGAAATGCCAGATCCGCCCTAGATCTGATGGAGAAACACCAGATCTGCCCTATCTGATGGCGAAATGTCAGATCCGCCGAGATCTGGCGGCAAAATGCCATTAGACCGTCCACCCATAGAATTTTATCAATTTACACACGATTTTCTCATTTTTCTTACCTGAAAATTTCTGGCGAAATTTACCACCATTGTTGAAAAAATCGGTCGAAATATTCGATAGCGAAATTTTCGCCCAAAAATGAAAAAGCCGACAAAATATTGCACCCTGATTTTAGTGTGATATTGTACACACTATGAACAGGACAAACAGAAGGGAAGAGCTTGCAAAGAAACCCAGAATGAAAGCTTCGTAAGTTGCTATGGTTTATTACGCAGATTCAATTTACATTAACTTAAAATTGTACTTTTTGGTCCTATAGTGTAGCAGGGTAGGCACCATAGGAGTCCAATCAAGTGAACGTTGCATTGCATGTTGTTCGTCTGTTTCTGCATGCTACATAGCCACAAAAAAACCAGCGGAGCCAAAAGTTGACTGGATGCGCTAGGAAAGGAGGGAAAGGCAAGGGCGTTAATTACCCATTCCAATCATTGTAGTAGGTGTGCAAAGACTAAAGTTCTATCCTGGGCAAGATCAAATGATGGTCGGGCCAGCGCGCCCACAAGACACCAAAGTACAACGGTGCGGGCGGGCACTCTCACTCACCTTAGGATGGAAACGATGGTGAGCAACCACGCATGGCTGTATGGCGCAGCGGTGTGTGGCACAGCGGTATGGGCATGCAAGCTCACCTCCGAGTGCACACTCCTGCCTGCCCTCCCCTCCCCAGAAGCAGCAGCAGCAGCAGCAGCACCAGTAGCAGCAGCAGCAGGGAGCGGCAGGAAGGTAGTGCCGGGGGGAAAGAGTGCCTTCAGATCGCCCTCCCCCAGCACCCACCCCTTGCTGCGCGCCTCTGCTGCTGCCGCCTCCACGGCTGCCGCCAGCCCTGCATGCTCTGCCACGCTGCTGTGTGGGATGGACGCCGCTGGCGGGCGCTCCTCCGTGCAGCGCCACAGGGCTCGTGTGTTCATCACCTCAGCCAGGGCGGGGCTGAATGATACCTGGGGAGATGGGAGGGGGCGGGGGAGAGGAGGAGAGTGCGTGCTGGGCAGGACTGGACGCTACTCATGAGGCGCCTGGGAAGTAGGTGGCTGGCGGACGCTCGCTCTTCGGTGCAGCGCCGCAGGGCTCGCGTGTTCATCACCTCAGCCAGGGCGGGCGGGGCTGAAGGATACCTGGGGGGACAGGGGGAAGGGGGGAAGGGTGAAGAGGAAAGGGGGGAAGGGCGGCAGGGAAGGGGGGGAAGGGTGGAGAGGAAGGGAAGCTGTGTTGAGCGGGGCTGACGGACATTCTAAGCGTGCAGTGCCGCAGGGCTCATGTGCTCATGACGACCGCCCGGCCGGGCTGATTGACACCTGTGGGCGGGCGGACGGGGGAAGGGAGGGGGAAGGGAGGGGGAAGGGGGAATGCGAGGGGAGAGGGGGGAATGGAAAGGGAACGAGGAGAGCGAAGGGGGGAGATGGAGCATGTGAAGCGAGGAAAATGACTATTATGGCAGGAGTAGGGGCGCAGGGAGGGAGGAAGGAAGAGGAGCAGTGAAGAGGATAGGACAGAAAAGAGCGCGAGAACAACAGAGGGACGGAAGGGTGGGAAAGAGCGGGAAGGGAAGAAAAGAGACGAGGTGACAGGTGAGAGGGGGGGGAGGGGGGGGGAGGGGAGGGGAGGGGGAGAGAAGGAATGCAGGAGGGAGACAGACAGCTAGGCGCCTCACCGTGACTGTGATACCCGAAGGCGCAGCCACTGATTGCACTTGTCCCTCAGCCCCCTGCGATCCCTCCGTCGTCCCACCTGCCACCGCCCCCTCCCCTGCGCTTCCCGCCTGCTCTCCCTCCCCCTTCTCCCCCTCCGCCCCATCCCCCGTGTGCGCGCCCAGCAGCCCTTCCACGAGGTGAATGGCCGTCTGCACGCATCAGCGGAACGGAGACACCACCACGCGCACCACCGCGCCCTCCTTGCCGCCCTCCCTCTCCTCCCCCCCCTCCCCCTCCTGCTTCCCTCCCGCATCCACTTTCCCCTCGTCGCCTGCCTTCCCCCCCCCGCCCCCTCGCGCGCTGCTCCTCGCCGCGCCAAAGCCCCGCGCCTTCAGCGCCTGCCCGACCTCCTCCGCCGCCTTGGCGCCTCGCGCGGACAGCGGCGGGTCCCAGGGTCGGTCCGAGCCTGCCGCCCAGCCGTCGTCCTGCTCGTCGATAGGCTCGGCATGCCGAACCACGACGAGCGTTTGAACGGTGGGCGCAGCGGGATAGCTTGCGCCTGCCCCGCCGAACCTGCTCCCCCCTGCTTCCCGCTCCGCCACGCCCGCCGACTGCCCGCCAGCTGGCTTCTCTCCTGGGCTGGAAAATAACGCCTTGCTCGTTATACCGAGTCTGCTCGTAACGAGACCCGAACCCGCTAAGTCCGCCATGGGCTGATCGGAGGTGACGGAAGGCGCGGGCGACATGTGGTAGGGCGGGATAGACGAGCACGTCGAGAATTGATCCAGCGACATTATGCTTCCCGTCGGACTGCCGAGCGTGGCCGCCACGCTACTGTCCTGGCTCGTCGTCCGAACCAGGTGGCCCGGCGGGAAATCCACCCGAACCTGCGGTAGGGTCGGTAAGAAGAGCCCGTCTTGAGGAACGGAGCCGGCGGCGAAAGCGCCGAACGTGCTTCCCATGCTGCTTACAACGGGGATGTCTGCTTCGGGGATGGAATGCGCGGCGGATTTGAGACCCCCGCACGGAACAATGGGATGCCGGATCCCTACATCTCTGGGTGTCGCTGCTGCTTCTAGCGAGTCTGCTTCTACCGGATCCCGCAGTTCTGTCGACGCTTGCGTGGCGCGATTGGCTGTATCGAGCGATGCGGAAGCGGCGGAATCGACTCCCACGGAAGCGGCGGGGGGGTCTCCCGCGGGGATCGGAGCCGTACCCGCGACCTGTTCGTCGCCTGCGACTCCTGCGACTCCCGCGTCTCCTGCGGATCCTGCTTGCACCATCGTCGCGGCGCAACGAGGTCGTGTGGGGAAGGAGTTGATGTGACAAACGGGGTGGAGAAAATGCTAGGGCAGATTATCTACAAACGGTTTCGCTAGCGCCGAGGATTTTGAATACTCCTCGAGCTCATCTCAATCAAGGGCAGTGAGGGCGGGTCCAGCTCGTCACAGCTCAGGTCAATATGTCCCTGTAACCAATTTTCGTAGGGTAACCGCTTAAATTTTTTAAATCCAGGCTGACGTGCTCGGTTTTCCCACATGCCACCAGTCCGTGCCACAAAACATTTCACACACGCAATTTTTCCGAAATTGTTGCAAACCGGGAAGCAGGAGCAAATCAAACTCTCTCATCCACACTTCCCGGTAACAGGTGTTTATGTAATCTGCGAACGGAATTCTTTTCGTCAAACATGAATCTGTCGGGCAAAATTTTCGATTCCTCGAGTGTTTTCTCGAAACACTGGTTACCCCTGACGAAATTTTGCCGATTTCGCGCATGATTCTGGGCATTGATACACCAGTTCGTTTGGGCAGGTTGCTGTGTCCGCTTGGGGCCACCAGGACGCCGCACGTGTTTGGGTTTGAATTTACTGTTTCTCATCCGAACAGTCAACATTTCGTTCGTTATAAAGGTGTCGTCCCCGAAACGAAGCGAGTTGGACCCGCCCTGAATACCCCCTCTCATCTTGTGGACGATCTGAGGGATCCTTACATCCCGCTGTACAATTGATTCCCAACATAGTCGCAGAAATTTGCTTCTCCCATTCACTTTTTGCCTATCCGCTTTGCCAGCCTGTACAGCCAATGCCCCACGTTACAGTCGCGTTTTTTAATCGCAAATTTTCCCGTTACGAATGTGGCGATGCAGGCCAAAAGCATAAGTCCGGTTCAGTCCATTTGATAGGTTCAAAATGAGTGGCTAAGGTTGGGCATCAACTGTAATAGCCCCCTAAGGTCAACACAACATTGAGCTCCGCTCGATACTGTCACAGACGACAACCAGGGCTTATCAGGGTCGGCTTCAATTGAGCCAGTAGCGCGTGGCGCGTCGTCTAGAAGGGTGGGAGGTGGGGGCGCGTGAGGGAGGTTGAACGGCGGGCTTGGGCGCTGGCTCCTAGTAATATTGTTTCTACTAGATTTGTTGTGGTACCGCCCACTCCAAACACATCCATTCCCCTCCAAACGCTCCCTCTTTTCGCAATGAAAGCGCCGGGCTGGAAGATAGATAGTAGGGGCGCCGTTATGTTCATGCAGTACCTGCTGTCCCTGCTCTTGGGAAAGCCCTTTCCGCCGCCTCCGGCACAGCCTGCAAAGCCGCGGCTAGTTCTGTTGACGAATAACTCCTTCAACGCGAAATGCCTTGACGGGAGGTAAGCTGCGGAAGGGAAGGGCGGGAAGGAAGGGGGAAAGCGGAGGTGAAAGTGTGGGGATGGGTGAAAGTAGGGAAATGGGGAGCGGGTAGGGCTGACAGTAGCCGTTGCGAGGGGAAAAAAGAAAGGGGGACCTCTCACCTTTACAGAGACTAGCGGTTGCGATATCGCTAGCCGTTAAAAAAAAAAAAAAAAAAAAAAAAAAAAAACACACACACACACACACAATCTCTTCCAATCATTGCTCTGCCTTTGGCAAAAGATTGCTGAAAGTAGTCGCGGGGGAACAATGTTTGAGGTTTATCATAATAAATCATCAGCCCCTGATCTGAGGAATGTTAGGGGATTGCTCGTAGGGATTTCCACTGGCACAGGCTGCCTCGCAGGTTCGGCAGCCAAACCAGGAGGTTTGTATACAGTGACTTTGTTCATTCCCCATACAATACATCTCTCACGCGAGTGATGTCTTGTAAGGTCTGGCTCGATACAGTATCAAACAGCGGCCAATACGTGTACTCAGCATATAAATCAAGATCATTTGCAATAGCAGTAAACCGCCTTCGTCAGTATCGCACGCGCCACAGGGCCGTAGCCACGCAATGTCACAGCAATGATCAGCATAGCAAATCGCGTCTAACAATAAGTACGTCAGAACGCCACACGGGAGCTGCGGCTGATCGACGGGACGCTCTGTATATGCGGGCTTCTATGAATTTTCGCTTGACGAACACTTTAGCCCCTCCCTCTTTTGCCTCCCAGCCCCCCAGGGTACTATTCCCGTGCGGGAACGGCGGAAGGCAAGAAAGTGTGGCACATCAATCTGCCGGGCGGCGGATGGTGCACCTCTGTCGCCGAGTGTGTCGCCAGGAGCAAGATGTCTCGCGGCAGCAGCAAGTTCTATCCTCAAGTGCCCACCCGCATTGTATGACGTGCTGTGTAGTAGGTTGGAAATGACTTTTGAGAGTCGAGTCGAGAAAGGCCGGTGATTAAACCCACAGGTGAGGTACCAGTCGCAGTTGACACCCCCCCCCCCTCTCTCTCTCCCCCCCCCCCCCTTTTCCTCCCTCTTCCCCCCTCGATGTCTTCAAAAGAAAGAAGGGAGAGATGAATGCTTTGCGCCGGCTGCGCGATCGGATCAAGCGGGTGTAACATGGTAACAAAATCACGCAAGGGTGTAACATAGTAACAGAATCACGCAAGGGTGTAACATAGTAACAGAATCACGCAAGGGTGTATTTTTCCACTGGCAGTGTGTAGTGACCAGAAAGTTTATAACGCAGTTAAATTTCTATATCAGTCTTACAACGCTGTGCAACAGCAGCACTAATGCACCTTGGATCCTTCCCCCTCCCCTCCTTCCACATCCTTGTATATCAGTCTATTCCCCATGGCCCTCGCTCCACTGTCCAAGCCCTCTTTTGACCCTTCACAGGCAATGCCAGATCACACCATCCACTGTATCTCCCCCCTCCACCCTCCATTCCACCAGCCCCCCCTCTCTCCACTTCACAGCAATTGCCAGTCTCAGCAACAACAGCACCATCAATTCCGCCCCTTTTCCTTTTCCTCCCCTCCCTGCCATTCCCCTTCCTTTCCTCCCCCATTTCTCTCCAACCCGAGCCGTTCTCCCCACCCTCCACAGACACTCGTAGCAGCAACAGCGGCACCGACCAACCAACCCAGTTTCCTTTTTCTCCCCTCCCTTCCCCAATCCTCCCTCCCTCCCTTCAACTACCAACCGCCCTTTTCCCGCTTCACAAGCATCTTCAGCAGCAACAGCAGCAGCATCAACCCAAGCCTCACTCCTCTATTCTAAACCAGGCCATCCACTGTAGTGTATTTCCCCCTCCATTCTCCCCAGCCTCCCTTCCCCATCTTCCAAGGCTTTCTTTGCAGCAACAGCAGCATCAACCCACCCTTCCACAACTGGAACCTCGTTCGTCTCATCTACTGCGACGGTGGCGGCTACTTGGGAACAGTGGGGAGGCTGGATGTTAGCAGAGGCGCCGTTCTTTACATGGATGGGTGGAAGATCATTCAAGCGGTAATTGCAGGTGAGTGACTGGTTGAGAGGCGTGAGAGCATGAGGGTAAGGGGAGTGACTGGCTTAATCTCGCACCTCCCCTCTTCCTCTGCTACCCCATTCCTCTGCTACCCCATTCCTCTGCTACCCCATTCCTCTGCTACCCCATTCCCCCTCCTTTACTTTACTCCCTTCCTCTTCCTCTCTATTCCCCCTGTTCTCATTGTTCCTCACTGTTTCTCCATGTTCCCCTCTCTTCCTCTCTGTGCCTGATTTCTCCAAAATCCGCTCAACCCTTTGTTCAAACGCAATCAGATCTGAAGTCAAAGGGCGAAATCCAATCTGCAACGCACATCCTCCTCTCGGGCACCTCAGCAGGCGGTCAAGCAGCCGTCGCCCTCTGCGATCGCATCGCTGCGGCCTTTCCCTGGGCGGCAACTAAGTGCTTGTGTGACTCTGGCAACTTCATTGGTGATACAGCTGGGCTGGGTGCTCCAGCTAGGTCACATTGAAACGAGGTGATTTTTTAGTCGACTCAAAACTGCATATACGACAAGGCATCTGTATTTGTGAGTCGCTGGCTTTTGTGTGAGTTTTGACTTGTCCTGAAAACCTTGGGTTGTAATGTTCGATGTGGTTCTCTGCAAAGGCCTGCCTCCCATGTGGGCTTCTTTACTGATGAGAGTGTCCCTGACGAGCCCCGTTGTGTGTGTGTGTGCTCGCGCGTGCGCGCGTGTGTGTGTGTCATGCATGTGCATGTGAGTGTGAGCGTGCGGGTGTATGCGTGCGTGCGTGCGTGTGTGCGTGCGTGCGTGCGTGCGTGCGTGCGTGCGTGCGTGCGTGCGTGCGTGCGTGCGTGCGTGTGCGTGCGTGTGTGTGCGTGCGTGTGTGTGCGTGCGTGCGTGCGTGCGTGTGTGCGTGTGCATGTGCGCATGCCTCAGTGTGTGTGTGCATGTGCGCGCGTGCGTGGTGTGTGTACGTGCACGTGGGCGTGCACGTGGCTTTGGTTTCTTTATTTTCATCTTGTAGGTCACCACCTCTGATGTTGCCAAAGTTGATATCGAAATGGTTTTTGTGGTTGTAAATGGAGGGGGGCTGATCTGTTGTTCCTTTCCATATCGCCCTCACCCCTTTCAGTATCGCCCTCACCCCTTTCAGTATCGCCCTCACCCCTTTCAGTATCGCCCTCACCCCTTTCAGTATCGCCCTCACCCCTTTCAGTATCGCCCTCACCCCTTTCAGTATCGCCCTCACCCCTTTCAGTATCGCCCTCACCCCTTTCAGTATCGCCCTCACCCCTTTCAGTATCGCCCTCACCCCTTTCAGTATCGCCCTCACCCCTTTCAGTATCGCCCTCACCCCTTTCAGTATCGCCCTCACCCCTTTCAGTATCGCCCTCACCCCTTTCAGTATCGCCCTCACCCCTTTCAGTATCGCCCTCACCCCTTTCAGTATCGCCCTCACCCCTTTCAGTATCGCCCTCACCCCTTTCAGTATCGCCCTCACCCCTTTCAGTATCGCCCTCACCCCTTTCAGTATCGCCCTCACCCCTTTCAGTATCTCCCTCACCCCTTTCAGTATCGCCCTCACCCCTTTTAGTATCGCCCTCACCCTTTTCAGTATCGCCCTCACCCCTTTCAGTATCGCCCTCACCCCTTTCAGTATCGCCCTCACCCCTTTCAGTATCGCCCTCACCCCTTTCAGTATCGCCCTCACCCCTTTCAGTATCGCCCTCACCCCTTTCAGTATCGCCCTCACCCCTTTCAGTATCTCCCTCACCCCTTTCAGTATCGCCCTCACCCCTTTCAGTATCGCCCTCACCCCTTTCAGTATCGCCCTCACCCCTTTCAGTATCGCCCTCACCCCTTTCAGTATCGCCCTCACTCCTTTCAGTATCTCCCTCACCCCTTTCAGTATCGCCCTCACCCCTTTCAGTATCGCCCTCACCCCTTTCAGTATCGCCCTCACCCCTTTCAGTATCGCCCTCACCCCTTTCAGTATCGCCCTCACCCCTTTCAGTATCGCCCTCACCCCTTTCAGTATCGCCCTCACCCCTTTCAGTATCGCCCTCACCCCTTTCAGTATCGCCCTCACCCCTTTCAGTATCGCCCTCACCCCTTTCAGTATCGCCCTCACCCCTTTCAGTATCGCCCTCACCCCTTTCAGTATCGCCCTCACCCCTTTCAGTATCTCCCTCACCCCTTTCAGTATCGCCCTCACCCCTTTTAGTATCGCCCTCACCCCTTTCAGTATCGCCCTCACCCCTTTCAGTATCGCCCTCACCCCTTTCAGTATCGCTCTCACCCCTTTCAGTATCGCCCTCACCCCTTTCAGTATCGCCCTCACCCCTTTCAGTATCGCCCTCACCCCTTTCAGTATCGCCCTCACCCCTTTCAGTATCTCCCTCACCCCTTTCAGTATCGCCCTCACCCCTTTCAGTATCGCCCTCACCCCTTTCAGTATCGCCCTCACTCCTTTCAGTATCGCCCTCACTCCTTTCAGTATCTCCCTCACCCCTTTCAGTATCGCCCTCACCCCTTTCAGTATCGCCCTCACCCCTTTCAGTATCACCCTCACCCCTTTCAGTATCGCCCTCACCCCTTTCAGTATCGCCCTCACCCCTTTCAGTATCGCCCTCACCCCTTTCAGTATCGCCCTCACTCCTTTCAGTATCGCCCTCACTCCTTTCAGTATCTCCGTCACCCCTTTCAGTATCTCCCTCACCCCTTTCAGTATCGCCCTCACCCCTTTCAGTATCTCCCTCACCCCTTTCAGTATCGCCCTCACCCCTTTCAGTATCTCCCTCACCCCTTTCAGTATCGCCCTCACCCCTTTCAGTATCGCCCTCACCCCTTTCAGTATCGCCCTCACCCCTTTCAGTATCGCCCTCACCCCTTTCAGTATCGCCCTCACCCCTTTCAGTATCGCCCTCACCCCTTTCAGTATCGCCCTCACCCCTTTCAGTATCTCCCTCACCCCTTTCAGTATCGCCCTCACCCCTTTCAGTATCGCCCTCACCCCTTTCAGTATCGCCCTCACCCCTTTCAGTATCGCCCTCACCCCTTTCAGTATCGCCCTCACCCCTTTCAGTATCGCCCTCACCCCTTTCAGTATCGCCCTCACTCCCTCCACCCTTCAAGAAAAAGCTAGATTTTGAGCCCTTATAGTAGGGGGTTGAGAGACACTTTTAGGCGCCTGATAAGCCCTCCCCATCCCCACCGTTCATTTGAGGTGGCGGGTGCAACTCTGGCGGGTGCAACTCTGGCAGGTGCAACTCTGGCAGGTGCAACTCTGGCAGGTGCAACTCTGCAAAGACCCTCCTTCATTCTTACCTTCTCTCATAACACATCCCCCCTTTCCCCACCCCTTCCCCACTTCTTTCGCCTCCAAACCTCCTTCCCCTCCTCCTTTGGGGCTACACCAGGCGCAACAATCCCATGAAACCCCCCTCCCAGACCCTTCCCAGCAAACACAATTTCCCGCAACTTCTATTCCTATCCGCTACGGCGCCACCTCACCCCCCTCCTGACCCTCCTCCCCACGCCCACAATCTTGATGTTTTAAGAACCGAGTGGGGGGATACACATGGCGCAATGCTGCAAAGAACCCCCCTCATCGCCCCCACCGTTCCCCCTCTCATACCGTTCCCTATCTCACACCTTCCTTCCTCCCTCTCTCTTTCGCCAACTTGCCCTGGCAAACTTGTACACGGTGTGACATTATCAAGAGCATGGTTGCTTCTTAGGCGCCACAGCTACCCTCGCACACCCTCCTTCCTCCCGCCCACTTTCTCCAACTTACCCTGCCAGACTTCAAGCACTGATTGGGGGAACACTTGGCGTGACAACATCAAGTGCGTGGTTGCTTGCGAGGCGTGGTTGCTTGCGAGGCGCCTCAAAAGTCCTCTCACACCCTCCTTCCTCCTTTCTCCCCACAGTTTCTATGCCAGACTCCAAGGACCGTATGGGAGGGAACACTTGGCGTGACACTGTCAAGAACATGGTGGCTCTGCACAAGCCGACCTGGCCTGCTTGCCAAGATGGTGAGACGAGATGCATTGCTGTTAGAGATGTTTGGGCAGCGTTACATGGTTACCACATGGTGTGACACTGTCAAGAACATGGTGGCTCTGCACAAGCCGACCTGGCCTGCTTGCCAAGATGGTGAGACACGACGGGTGGAGAAATAAGGGGGAAGGGAGAGGGGAAGGAGTCATGGGGGTTCAACGTGTTCTTTTCAGACCCACTGCCCTCCTTCCGAGTTGACTCAATTTCATGACTTATGAGTCGACTCACGTCATCTGGTTTTGCATCGACTCATATATTACCTTTTGAGTTTACTCCAGGGTATTCCCCGCTTTTTCTCTGCTACCTCCCCTTTTGAGTTGATTTGATGCTCTCTTCCTTTTTTTCCCTGAATATCTCCCATTTTGAGTTTACTCAAATGTATCCCCTGCTTTTTATTACTATATCCTGTTTTGATGACTTTACTCAATGGTAACCCCCGTTGCTTCTTGACTATCTCCCCTTTTGAGTTAAATCAAAAGTATCCCCTGTTTTTCACACTCCTTTGTTCGCTACACCTAATTTCCCTCCTTCCTCTCCCATCAACCCTTACCCCCTTTGACCCCCAGCCTTACCTGAGACCGAACATTGGAAATGCTTCTTCCCGCAGTACACTCTGCAACTCGTTACGACTCCCACGTTTATATTCCACAACTTATTCGACTATAGAGCCAGCCAGCACGGTGGACTGTTACCGTGGAACTTCACGTATGCGTCTCTATGCTTACGAGAAGTTGTGAGGATCAACGATGTTATGGGGATTGTAACGAGAAAGGAGTGGGACGGGATACAATGGAAATTAAACTACTGTACAGACAGTGAGGTAGGTGCACTGTATACTGCGGCGTCTGTGCTCTATGAGGAGCTGGAGAGTGCTATTGAAAGCAAAGATACTGTAGCTGCGTTTGTGCCAGTTGCAGCAAAACATGTGATATTACCATGGGACACTTGGGTGAAATCACAGATTAGGGAGATTGCTGTAGTTTCTCACATAGTACAGTGGTTTGCAGGCAGTGTCTCTGATCGATTTGTGCATAATTAAGCTAGTGCGATATCGTACTAGAAATTGGGTTCTCTTTCTCAAACGGTCCTTCATATTATGCGTACCATTTTCCATAATCACGATACCATTTCAGGCCTATGGCCAAACAAGGCAATGAGCGTAATGCCAACATCACATCCTTACACCACCCATTTGTCATCCCCCTTACTACCATCACCACCCTAGGATAAGCGCTTGGCGCTTCTAATTGGCATACGGCGCTTATATCCCCTCTTCGATTATGAGTGTCGAAAGGCTAGGCAGAAACGAAAAACAAGGAAGAGGGTTTTCACTAGCAAGCAGTTGGATACATATAGCAAACCCTAATTTGGGTTGTACTCGCTATAGAGTACCCCACTGCAGGCTAGACAAACATCACATTCTGACACACCCCCATAGTCAAAGTGGGGTATAATCAGCACAACAAGCAGGCAGAGCAGTAGGTTCACAAATACAAGCAAAGCTAGAGGCTATCACAGAGGGCAAGTGAGGAGGAGGAGAAACTGCGGGGGTGAGAAGATGGGAGGCGACGGCTGAAGCTGCAGACACACGGGCAACAGGAGTGCGCAGCACTGTCGCTACCAGGCTAAACCCGGACTACACGGCGACAGACGCAGCTGGCTCGCTGTGCTCCCAGGAGTGCTCACACTGTGGCTACCGGGGCTCTGCGCCCGGGACTACACGGCCACAGGGGGTCGTGGCTCTCTGGACTACCAAGAGTGCTCACACTGTGGCTACCGGGCGCAGAGCCCCGGACTACACGGCCACAGGGGGTCGTGGCTCTCTGGACTTCAGGTGCTGCGGACGACAAGCTGACGGCCTCCACTCAACTTCCCCCAGCTGTCCCACACCCCTTTCACACACTCCCTGTTGAACCTCTAGCGCCGCTCACACGCCACCCCCCTCGAACGACTCCGACGGCTCCAACACATCCACCCCCCTCAGCGGCAGCTGCAGCAGTGGGAGACGAAGGAGGAGGAGAAGCAGGGGACGGCAAACACACTCGGCACCCCCATACTCGCCACCCCCACACTCGCCACCCCCAAACCCTAACACAGGCAGCAGCGGGGGAGCGAGGGGGGCGGTTCGCAGGCAAGCCAGGGGGGATGGCGCGCGACTCCCCAGGGCGCCGTGACGGGGCAGCGAGGGGTCGCGCGCGGCTCCCCAGGGCGCCGCGACGGGGCAGCGGGGGTCGCGCGCGGCTCCCCAGAGCGCCGCGACAGGGCTGCGGGGTCGCGCGCGGCTCCACAGGGCGCCACGATGGGGCTGCGGGGTCGCGCGCGGCTCCCCAGGGCGCCGCGACGGGGCAACGGGGTCGCGTGCGGCTCCCCAGGGCGCCACGATGGGGCAGCGGGGGCGACGCGCGGGTCTGCTGGGCGACGCGACGGGCTCCCGGGGGGGCGACGCGACGGTCGACGGAGGGGGGGAACCGCCGCGCGCCCCGGGGCGCACGGCGGGCAGGAAACCGCCGCGCGCTTCGGGCGCACGGCGAGCAGAAAAGCGCCGCGCACCCCGAGCGCGTGGCGGGAAGAAAAATCCGTCGCGCTCCACTGGGCGCGCGACACACAGAACGACAACGGAAGCTAACGGGTGGGACCACCCACAGGATCGACCCAGGAGGGTCGACCTGCTCTGATAGCATGTCGAAAGGCTAGGCAGAAACGAGAAACAAGGAAGAGGGTTTTCACTAGCAAGCAGTTAAATACATATAGCAAACCCTAATTTGGGTTGTACTCGCTATAGAGTACCCCACTGCAGGCTAGACAAACATCACATTCTCACAATGAGTGCACCTCCTGAAAAAACTTGTTTTATTATAAGCGCATGTAAACTATAAATTTTGAAATTGGTTCAACACACTGTAACGATTTTCACTTTAGAAGGCGGATGTGTTGCAAATTCGGTTCGCTTCACTTTCGAACCCTGCACTGGATGCGAGTCCAGTCAGCAGGAGCTGTCAGGGGCACCTTGTGAGCAGGCCTCTGGTTAACAGGGTGATTCACCCTTATGACCCTTACTACAAGGCTGGGTTTGACTATGCACCCTTTTTTATCAGAGTGGTTAATATTTTTAACCCTTACAAGAAAAAGTATTTGGTTATACTACACTGATATTTCAGAGTCATGTGGTGTAGTAACACTGATGCTATTGAGTTAGATCTAACAGAGTATGTTAAGATTACTCGCGAAAAATACTACCTCGTTCAGACATGCCCACAAGTATAAGAGTCATATGCGCAATTTCCTAGACGCAACTCACTTCAACACCAACAGCTTCGACAGTTTCAAGAGGTAAAGTATTAGTAGATACAATATCTAATGTTTGCACCCTTACTAGACAGAGTAGTTTTTGTGAGCACCCTTACAGAAAATGTGAAAGCGGGGTGTTGGCCTTACTTGAAAGAGTAGCTCAAAACCTAACCAGAGGCTTGCTTGTGAGTCAGATTGAGTGTATCTCCTAGGACGCGCGAGACCCCTTGTAACTTCGACTCGATTGAAAAGGCAAGCACGAGATCTACAGTTTGGAGTTGGAAAATACTGTTACGATAAGGAACGATGGAACATTCCTAAAGTAACGAATCCTTAACGCGAAGATGACTGCAGCGAGGACGAAAGACCAAGCGTCAAGACAGTTATCGAAGACGGTTGCAAGCAGGAAGAATTCAAGATGAAAAGTGCGGGAAATGTTCAAACGGTTACCGAACCGGGTACGATCACCGAGCTGTTAGAATCTTAGAATAGAACGAGAATGGGTTGCATTGAGCAGCATGAGGAGTACAAGTACCAAACCCTAGAATGTTGTACCCCATATAAGCTACCCCACTACAGCCTACACAGACTATAGTGTATGAGTTTGACACACCCCCATAGGCAAAGTGGGGGAGAACAAGGGGTCACAAGACCAGTCAAGCAAAGCAAGGCAAAGCAAGCTCAGGGTGGATCACAACGTCACCACACAGTCTGAGCACAAGTTCAAGGCCACAAGGCCAGTTCACATGCAAGGGTACATATATATAACGCTAAACAAGCAAGGGCAGGTATATATATGTAA